GAAAAACCCTCTGCCTTCACTGTTGAGTCACACTGAGTCCAAAACACTACTAAGAAATTATCTTTAAATCACATAGAATCAGGGAAGATGTCCAGGAGCTCTACATGCCTCGTGAAACAATGCTCTTTTGCACTTTTCCTGTTCTCTTGGGAAGCTGGAAGAGGTTTAATAGGATGCACACAACAGAGAAGAAGGCCTTGGCCTCAGGGTTTAGATAATTAATGAGTGGACAAAGCAAAGGAATGAGTCTACAACAACCAAAGCAGGATGGGGTCTGTAAGGTAAGAAGAAACTAGAACTTGTTCCAGTCACCTCATCTCAGCTACACACCCACAGCAACAGCTGGCAGCACCTCAGCCCTGTGGGCTAAGAAAATGGGTACCAGGCACAAACAACATCAGGGCAAGTTTCCCGGTTTGTTTCACTGGAGAGATCCCAGAGAGTTCACTGATCAGAGCAAACACATGTTGCCTTGTTCCCTCTGAGACCAAGACTGAATGTTGCACAACAGTTATAACAGAAATCGATTTTAAAATGTCCTGGCACGACAGCCTGGACTGAAGCAGCAGCTTCAGCTACAAGCACTGCCCGGTGCCAGCAGGGAGGAAAACATCAAAGCTGTGACACTGTGCAAGGGTCGGAGGACCAGAAAGTGAAACCAGCCTCTCACTTTCCATCATCAAAACAGCAAAGTGGGAACAGGTACAAAACACAACTTTTTTTGGGTCTCATCTTTAAACCAACCTTGATGTTTACCTCTCATTTCAACTCGTTTAAGATGCCAAGAGCTCCCTTCAGAAGGCACGAGGGTTTCACTACAATACAATGTGTTTTGCTACATGTTTTTTCTTGGCAATGCTGATGGAATGACAAAGCAGAAACAGGAATCTCCCCTCTCGACAGCAATACCTGCAGGCAACACACCAGCAGGCCAAGATCACCAATAAACAGGAGACACACGAGAAATTCTGCTGCCTTGGCTTTCCCCTGGTGCTATTCCCAGGCTCTGCCAGGCTTTTTCCTGAGCACTAAAATCACAATGGCTTGATCTCAGGGGAGGAAAGAAAAGCCTGTGAGGGGAAGCACAACTCTGGAGGGTTTTACTAATGGCAGGATGACTGTTACCAGGTAACCTCCTCCCTGCCTTGATTTTAACAATTTGGGGAAATTCTCTGCCTCCCATTTCTCCTGTTCCATTCAGCACCTCAGAGGAGCTGCTCTTCACTGCTTGGAAATACCTTTGTTGTTGTATTTTTTTCACTCCTGCAATTCATATGAGCTGCTTTAGGATGAAATGTTCTCTCTCTCTCCAGCAAGGACACTTCAAGCTGTTGACTCAAAGGTAACACCAGGGGAGTCCTTCAGAAGGCTCATGATATCTAAAAAGAATACTTGCCTGGAGATAGCAAGGTTGCACTCAAAACAGAGGCCCTCTGACCTTCCTTAGGAAGGCAGCACGAGCAGCTACAGCAGGATCACAGCATGACCAGGGCAGTTTGTTTGCTTTCTGGTAAAGCAGCACCAGCCCCTCCAGGCTTGCTGAAGGACATCTTCCAACTCCCACAAAAAGTGCTGGAATATAAAAGTCCCTGAAGATTTTTCTGCTGCAAATTCCAACTGAGACAAACGCAGTTATCTAGAGGAGAAACAACTTTGCCCTCTGTGTGACAACAGAACAGGAGCTCTCTGAACAGAGAGGGAGAATCTGGATGTCAGGCAGCTTCGTGTAAAGCTACAAAAGGGGCAGAAACTTCACATCTACATCAAGAAAACCTCCTCCTCAGCGCTGTCAGCACTTTCTGTCCCCTCTCTAATCACATCAGAACAATGAAGCTGCCTCAGACCTGACCACAGAGCTCCCAGCAGGTGTTAAACTGGCACTCAAAACCGTGTTAAATGTGACACTTCAACTGCAAAAGACACTTTGCCTGATGACTTCAGGCTGCTCTGAACTCTCTGCTTCCTGCATCAGCAGAGGAAGCAGGAAAGTGATGCTACAAAGGGCAAGACACCAAGATACATGCAGAAAACACCGAGAACTCCTTTTCCTTCCAGATGCTGCTCTCTGTGAGCCTGCAGGTACTGCCTGTTCCTCCCCTGTTGGAGGAAGCACCGGAGCAACGACGACAAAGGTGAGGAGGGAGCGGCTGCAGAGCGGGCTGGGGCTGGGACATGACAGGGAAAAGGATCCCGGTTTTCTGCTCGTACAGGGAAACGGAGCCCGGTTTTCTTCTTCTACAGGGAAAAGGATCCCGGTTTTCTGCTTTTACAGGGAAACGGAGCCTGGTTTTCTCCTCACGGCCCCTGGGAGAAGCGTTAAACGTGCTGAACTCCTGATGGAGACCCGTCCCGCTGCGAGGATGACCCGGGACAGACCCAAACCTTCCCCTGCGGGGTTCTGTGCCCCTCTCCTCAGCTACCCCGCACAACCCGCTGCCCCCGCTCCCGCGGGGATGCGGGACGGGATGTCCCGCCGCCCACACAGCTCCCCTCGCTCGGGGCTG